AGTAATAGTAATTAAAAAAAACTTTTATTAAGCTTTTTTTTAATTAAAAAAAGTTATTAATAATTTTAGTTTTAATTTCAAAAATTTTATTAAACATTTAATAAATCAATGATGCTCTATGGCTCAAATTCAATGGTCTAATCCAAATGTGGCTACAAGTGCCACTGATGAGGACATCGCTCAGAGATTCAGACACTGTACCAACGACGGAATCGTAGATCAACGGCTACGATTCAGCGTCTTTACTTTTGATGCATTATGTTTTATCTAGTTTTGTTGTATGCATGATGTTTTATTTAGTTTTTGTTGTTTTCCACTTTTACCCTTATGGGGAGTATCTTGTCATTGTAGCATGGAGGACAAGTTTGTACTTTTTCTTTTCATGTTGGGAGGCCTATATATAGTGGCCTTATGTGTTGTAAAAGGATGATGAATGTTTAATGAAAAAATTATTGTGTTCTTCTTCTTCTTGTGTGATCACTTGAGGGTAGGGAGAGAGCTCGAGGTGAGCATGTGCAAGGCCCACCAGTCTTTGGAAGAGTCCACGGCTTGTGGTAATTTCTTCTTTTCTATTTTACTTAAGTTTCCCTCATCGTCCTTCCCCTCTCCATCTGCCGGCCCCTTCCCAAACCTACCTCCACCGATTGCTTCACCTCTCCCATCCATTCCATCCTCTAGCTCCACCACATCCCGTCCAACCACCATCCAAGCCCACCTCAATCCGACGGCAAATCCCTCTTCCCCTTTGACCGGCGGCCACCTCCTCATTCATCATGCCATTATGATGATTTCAATCATCATAATGACTCCCTAACTTAGATCTAGCATTGAGGAAGAAATTTGTGAATTTTGAAATTCAAATTTCGAAATTCAAAACTTTCCTTATTTGCGAAATCTAAATAAGGAAAGTTTCTAAATTTGAATCCATTCGAAATTTAATTTTGGAGGATTCATATTTTCCCGCCTCATTGTCATATCTTGTTTGGAAAGAGTCTAAATCCTTCCTAATCCCTTTTCCCCCTCTCTCCATGCCGCCGGCCTCATGCTTGGCTTCCCCCCATTAAATCCCCAATCAATGCATTAATTGCAAATTAATTTGAAATCAAATTTCAAATTAGTTTTCCCCCAAATTCACTCAAATCCTGAATATTAATTTCAGGTTTGGGAATAAAACCTCTCTCCCCCTCTCTCCTTGCCGCCGGCCCCATGCTTGGGTCTCTCCCATTAATCCTCAATCAATTCCTTAATTACAATCAATTTGAAATCAAATCTCAAATTGGTTTCCCTCCAAATTTACTCAAATCCTGAAATTAATTTCAGGTTTGGAATAAAACCTCTTCCTCTCTTGGATCAAACCTAATCCTCCCCCCTTCTCCACCTTTGGCCGCCCCTTCTCTTGGCGTTCTCTCCTCATGCTTATGGTGCATGGCTGATCTTGAAGTCGATCACGGCTTCGCTTACAACGAACGATGGGAAATTGACATCCTCCTCTCCCCCTTCTACGAGCCGGACTGGGAATACGATGAAACGGTAGAAAGATATGTCAAGCGCATCCTCTATTGCTTAGCAGAGACGATCGATCTTCAAAACCCTAAGACGTCTTGGCTTCTCGTTGGGAGATCTACCCCTTCTCCGTCCGTGGCTACCTCTCCATCAACAAAGACCTTCGATACTATCTTCCTAGTTGCAGTTTCTCTCATCGTATGCTTCATTTTCAACCGCTAAGCCTAAGAGTGATTGAGTGAGTAGGAACTCTAAGTGACAATGTCTTGATGTTATGCTTTGGATTCTTGATTTCTTGCTATTAGAAATACTATTTAAATTTTGCTGTTATTGCACTTGTCTTGCTAACCTCTTGTAACGACTTACCTTTACTTAATCTTCCAACGGAATGTTCTAAGAATTTAACTTGATTGAAGCATGAGTTACTAATTAGCAATGTACTAATTCAATCTTACTTGTTACAATTCCAAAGCAACTCTTCGCATGTTTGTCTTACATCATATTTGATATCAGAGCATGGTAGACATGCATGTCATGTACTAGAAAATATCATAGGGTCTAGCCTTGCGTTAAACCTTAAATTTTGCATGCATATCATCGCATAATTAATTTTTATTCACTATTTTCATTGCTGTCCCTGCATTTCTTGCACGCATTTAGTGGAGTTTAAGTCATTCTAGCTAGTAGTGCTGCCATTAAACCCACATCGATTCTAAGTGCATAGGACAACTACACCCTTAATATTAGCTGCTGTCCTCACTGTTCCAGCAATATTTAAACACCTTTTAGTGAACTTAAAGTGGTGTCTAGGTGCTGTCCTCACCCTAGTGGTATCCCCATAACATCTAGGCGACTTAATCCACTGTTTAGTTTGCTGTCCTGAAATTTCCTGTTGCTGTTAATCACTTTTTAGTAAGCAACTCGTTGTTTTTAGTTGCTGCCCTTGACCTAGGAACCTTCATTAGTGTCCCCTAGCACCCAACCATGGATTCAGAACACATTCAAGCAACCTTAGACCTAATTGTGGGCCAACTTGGAACGGTTACACAATAAATTAGGAACACTCAAATGGATTTAACTGAATTTAGACGCTAAACGGGTGAGAGGCTTGACAACATTAAGAGAATAGGAAACCCTGCAATCGACACCCCCTCTAGACCCCTCTCCTTATAGCAAAGATAACCGAACTGATTACGGGCCTCCTAGAGAACACTACCGACCCAATCACTGACCCAATCAAGAATCGGTAGGACGTGACACTCCTTGGAGAGATAACGATACCTAACCTCTTAGGAATATTCGGATATATGTCCCGTTTTTTGATGGTACGTTAGATCCCCAAGTTTTCCTTGATTGGCTCAAAGGAATGAGTAGCTATTTCAAGTGGTATAATATTTCGGAGGAAAGAAATGTTCGATTTGCAGAAATGAAGTTGACTGGTAGAGCTAATCAATATTGGACTAACGTAGAACAAATAAGGGAAATACGAGGAGAATACCCTGTGACCTATGATGCACAGATACGGACACGGCGACACGGACACGACACGACTCGGACACGGGACACTGCTTTCTTTTAAAATGTAGGATACGTGTACGGCACGGACACGACAATACATTTTTTTATATAATGTATATATATTAATGTAATATCATATTAAAAATGGATGATTTCATGATCCACTGTAACGGGGGAGAAACCACCACTCCTGCTCAACTTTTGTCGATGTTTAGAGCTGGACTAAGAGAAAATCTGCGGAATGAGCTTTTTGCCAGAGGAGTGAGCACTTTTGAAGCTGCCTATAATATTGTACTAGATTTAGAAGAATCTAGGAGCCACACCTCTAGAAACCAAGATCCTCGTCCTAACCCGTTCAAATCCTCCTCTAGCCAACTTTACAACAAACCCACTGGACTCCTGAGTAGTCTGCCTTCTCTTGGCCAAACCCAATCTCGTCCGGACTATAAAGGTAAAGCATCAGAATGGGAAACACCCAAAACCCTTGTAGGCACTAAGTGTTTTAGATGCCATGGGTATAGAAACATTGCCTCCCAATGTTCCAGCCTGTTTAAGGTTACCATAATTAAAGAAGTCATGGAAGAAGAGGATGAACCGGATACTGAACTAGTTCATCACATTGATGACGATGAAGAATTTTTCTGCGATGAAGATACTGCCGTGATCCACTGCCTCCAAAAATTGGATCACTTAGACCTACAAGTCGTTAGGTGTGCCTTCTCACAACCTAAGCTAAGCGACGACTGGCGAAGAACCTCGATCTTCTACACTTTTACCAAGATCAGAGATAAGAATTGCAAAGTCATAATCGACAGTGGATGTTGTGTAAACGCTGTGTTGTCTGTGATGGTTTCTAAACTCCACTTGAAAGCCACACCACACCCAAACCCCTACAAAGTCGCTTGGATCAATTCTTCCACCTTGCAGGTGAAAGATAGGAGTCTCGTTTCTATTGAGTTCGTTGGATATAAAGAGAAAATCTGGTGTGATGTGTTGAATATGGATGTTGGCCAAATAATCCTTGGTTGCCCCTGGTTGTTCAATAACGATGTGCACATTTATGGCCGATCTAACACCTGCGTATTTGAACACGAGGGCAAGAAAATTAAACTCCTACCCACCCATCCCAAGTCCACCAAGGAGGACATCAAGCCCAACTCCCTTAAACCCAGCTCGGGCCTGAACTTATTAACTGCTAAAGACTTGGGTACAAAACTAGAATCAGGAGCCACTCTCTATGCCTTAGTAGCTCGGGAAGTGAGTGTGACCCAAGAAGAGCCGGTCCCTGAGGAAGTAAGAGAACTCTTGGAAACTTTTGCCGACGTCTTCCCAGAAGATCTCTCCCACCAACTGCCACCTTTAAGTGACATTCAACACGCTATTGACCTAGTGCTCGGGGCTTCGTTACCAAATTTGCCCTATTACCGAATGAACCCTGCTGAGCATGAGGAGTTTAAGAAACAAGTGGATGAGTTGTTACAAGGCGGTTTCATTAAGGAGAGTCTTAGCCTGTGTGTTGTTCCCGTCCTTCTTACCCCTAAGAAGGATGGGTCGTGGAGAATGTGTGTTGATAGCCGCGCTATCAACAAAATCACGGTCAAGTATCGCTTCCCAATCTCTCGGTTAGATGACATGCTAGATATGATGACCGGGGCCACACTTTTTTCTAAGATCGATCTTAAAAGTGGCTATCACCAAATTAGGATCCGCCTGGGGGACGAATGGAAGACCGCGTTCAAAACTAAAGATGGTTTATACGAATGGACTATGATGCCTTTTGGCCTTAGCAATGCTCCAAGTACGTTCATGAGAGTGATGACCTAGATCCTCAAACATTTCCTGCGGAAATTTGTAGTGGTCTACTTTGATGACATTTTGATTTATAGTAACTCGATGGATCAACATTTGGATCATTTAAGGCGAGTCTACGAAGTCCTGAGGAGAGATCAATTATTTGCCAATCCCAAGAAATGCACTTTCCTCACCGATCACGTAATCTTTTTGGGATTCATTATATTCTCCCAAGGCATATTTACTGACCCTGAAAAAGTAAGAGCAATCAATGAATGACCTGAACCCAATAATATCAGAGATGTTAGAAGTTTTCATGGACTGACGACGTTTTATAGACGATTAATTAGGAATTTTAGCCTTATAGTGGGACCGATAACTGATTGTTTGAAGAAAGGAGAATTTCACTGGACGGCATCTGCCTCTAAGGCTTTTGAGGAGATAAAGAAAAAAATGGTTGAAGCACCAGTCATGCGACTGCCGGATTTTTCTAAGGTTTTTGAAGTGACGTGTGATGCATCTGGCATATGCATAGGAGTATTATCTCAAGAGGGACACCCGGTTGCCTACTTTAGTGAAAAGTTAAATGACATTAGGCAACGCTACTCTACTTATGATAAAGAATTTTACGCCATTGTTCAATCCCTCAGATACTGGAGACACTACCTGTTTCCCCAAGAATCTGTCATTTTCTCTGACCATGAAGCCCTGCGATATATAAACTCTCAAAAGAAACTGAATGCACGTCATGGTCGGTGGGTTGAATTTTTGCAAGAGTACACTTACACGATTAGGCACAAAGCGGGATCTGAGAATAAGGCGCTTCCGATGCACTAAGTCGTTGGATGATGATTACTTGTGAGATGAGGACGGAAGTGATAGGTTTCGAGCAACTTAAGAAAGACTACTTAGACTATCCTGATTTTAGAGAAATCTATTGTGTTAGCAACTAGAGGTGAACGGATCATAGAAGATTTCATGTTGGAAGATGGATATTTATTTAAGTCTCAAAAACTTTGTATTCCCAATACGTCACTTCACGAATTTCTTGTTTGGGAATTACATGCTGGTGGTTTAGCGGGTCACTTCAGTCAAGCCAAGTCAATAACTGCTGTTGGAAATCGATTTTATTGGCCGAGTCTTAAGAGGGACGTTAGTAGATTAGTAAAACGATGTCACACCTGTCAATTGGCCAAACAAAGGAAGCAAAACACTGACCTTTACACACCACTCCCTGTACCTAACCAATTGTGGCAGGATGTTAGCATGGACTTTGTTTTAGGGTTACCCAAAACTATGAGGAAGCATGACTCTGTGTGTGTGGTAGTTGACCGATTCTCTAAAATGGCTCACTTCCTTCCGTGCTCCAAAACTTTCGATGCTTCTAGGACCGCCAAACTGTATTTTGACGAAATTGTTAGACTCCACGGGCTATCCAAAACTATTGTGTTAGACCGAGATGTTAAGTTTACGAGCTATTTTTGGAAAACCTTATGGCATAAGATGGGGACCAAACTTCAATTTTATACTGCTTTCCATCCCCAGACAGATGGACAGACTGAGGTTGTGAATAGGAGCCTAGGAAATCTGTTAAGGACCTTGGTGGGAGAGATGTAGAACGGGTTGGAGGTTTATTCTCAGAGATTTGGCAGCAGGGACAGCAGTATTGTCTTGGAGAAAACTTGGGACAACCACTTGGAGGACTTGGGAAGGTCCAGGACAGCAGCCACCAGGTATTGGAACTTTCTGGATAGAAATCTGCTTCTCCCAAAAGTACAAAACATCAAGGTGCTTGCTAGAAATGGGACTAGCCAGCAAGGATTCCTGGAGGATGAGAGGGAGGCGTTGAGGAGAAAGCTTGGGGTTTAGAACCCAAGTGAAGAATTGGTGGTAAACAAACAGTAAGTGGGGAGAGAAGTATCCAAGGGAGGCCTTGAATGTTTCGGCCAACAGCAGGTTAGCCATCTAATTCTTTCCCAAGATGTGCACTATCCCGTGAACAGATTTTGAGGAAATCAACTAAGGGGGAGGCGGTGAGCTGAGAGGAAATTAGGAATTATTTCCTAATGTTTATTCTCAGAGATTTGGAAATTAATTAGCGGCTTTGGGCTTTAAGATTTCGGCTACCAGGAGGTGGGAGTTTTGAATTTATTCCAAAGGAGGAGATGGGATTTAGGAAGTATTACCTAGCCCAAATTTAGGAAAGGGGGCCGGCGGCTTGCATGAATAAGGGGGGCATTGAATGAGGTGATTTAAGACTTCTAGATTTGACTTTAGGAATTAGGAAAGTAATGAAATAAATCCAATTTGAATTTAAAATTCAAATTGATCTAAATTAAGTACTTTCCTAAAATAGGCGAATTAAATTAGGAAATAAATTTTGAATTTCAAATTTAGATAATTTGAATTTCAAATTTAGATAATTTGAATTTCAAATTAAGTTCAAATGTCATTTACCCCAAATTAGGAAACTCAAGAAGGAAGAGGGAAGGGTGAGAAAGTTTGGAAATAAATCCAAGTGGATTTATTGGAGGGGGCTAGCGGCATCATGAGGGTGAGAATTTAGGGAGAGATTAATGAGGGTTTCCAAACAAGGCTATATTAATTTGGAGGGATTAATGACTCATCTCCTTGCAATTCAAATTTAAATTTTGAATTGGAGAGTTAAAACCTTCCAAATATGGATCAAACCCAATTAGGAAAGATTTCAAATTTGAAATCCAAAATTGTCATAGATTTTCCCTCTCGATTTTGCCAACCCAAATTGGAAGGAGGCATGGCCATGGGAAGAGGAGGGGGCGAGGGACCGGCGGCAAGGTGGAGATGGAGACGACGTGAAGGTGGAAGCAGGAAGATGATGAATATGACTACGAGGAGCAATAAGAAGGAACAAAAACAAAAACACAAGGAAGAAAATAAGAACCGCGAGCTTTGGACTCTTCCGAAGACTGACTGGCGATGCTTTGCCCTTCTCCAAGGGACTTCAAGTCACGAGTCCAGACCCATCATGCGGCTGGTGAAAACTTTGATTCCTTCCCACAGGAATTTCACTATCGTCCTCTCAAAAGAACACAAGTGTTGAACACCAATTTTTAATATCAATCATCCATCTCTATTACAATAGCTTAAGGCCCTATATATAGGCCACAACATAAGATAACTCAAAATACAAAATTGCCCCTTGGGCCACAACACTCACATAAAACTAATCTAGGGGTAAAACAAGAAATACATCAAATAAAAACTAAAATTCAGAAAAATAACTCATAATTGAAGATTTAAATTACAGCCATCGATTTACGACGCCTCCTCCTGTGATAGATGCGCCAAATCTTCATACCGATGTCCGCATCAGAGAGATAACATACGGGATTGGGATTCCATATTGCCTTTAGCTGAGTTTGGCTACAATAATTCTGTCAATCGAACTACATGTCTAAGTCCCGCCGAAATTGTGTATGGATACCAACCTAGAAAGCCGATAGACCTGATCCCTATAAGTCATAAGCATAGAGCATCTGAGTTTGCATCTGCATTTGCATCCCATCTCCAAGAGTTGCATAGGAAAATTAACAAAAAAATTGAACAAAATAATGCTAATTATAAATTGCATGCAGATCTCAAGAAACGATTCAAAGAATTTGAAATTGGAGACTTTCTAATGGTTCAGATCTGTCTAGAGCGGTTTCCACAGGGATCGTTAAAAAGTTACATGCAAGGAGCGCAGGACCGTTCAAAATAACTTCAAAAATAAATAGTAATGCCTATGTGCTAGACCTTCCTGAAGGTTTTAACATTAATCCTACGTTTAACATTGAAGATCTGGAAGCCTTTGAGGGTCCTGAGTTTAGCCCTTTCAATCCACTAAATAAAGAGCCTTGTGTGAACCCACTTGGTGAGAACCCTAGCCTGCCCCCACTCCCAAACATCCCTATCCCCCCCTGCGGAGAAGGTTGAAGCTATACTTGGTGATGAGATTATTTTCACTAGAGACGGTGGCCGCCGAAGGTACCTAGTTCAATGGACAGAGAAACCGGAGACGGAGAATATGTGGATTGACCGCGTGGAGCTGCAACGATTGGATCCTGATCTATTAGAGTGGTACGAGAGTTCTTGATGCGGGCAAAAAATCCGGGGGATGGGGACCCGAGGACCTCTGCCCACGAAGAGACTCGAGGAACGAAAGATGAGACGAACAACAAAAACAAGAAGACGAATAAACTCTTACATTTCAAATCTAAAAACAGACTTAGAAATTAAAAACAAAACTTACAACACATTAAAAATTAAATGGCTTACAAACTTGAATATAATAGAAGACATCATAAACTTGCTTCACTTAGAGACGAAGGATACAGATGGGGTGGTCACTTGCGGAGAGAAGAAAAAGGTTAGAAGCCAAGACGAAGAGTGGAAAGAGCTCGCAAGATTTCCAAAGGAGGTGGAATAAGAAGGTGGACAAAGCTCGTAAGCTTCTCCAAGAAAATCCGCAGATTTCTTTTCAAAAATTCATATATCACTCTCTTTAAAACATTACATAACCCCTCATATTTATAGGTATGAAAGGGGGAATACAAAAAGCCACACAACATTGAATTCCCACAAGAATCCAAGCAACACAAGCCATGAAAAGCCCCATGCTTTTCACGGAAAAACAGCCCAGCCCAGGAACCGAAAGAGCAGCCACGGGAACCAAAGGGACCGCACGGAATCGAGGCGCCAAAAGCAACGGGAAGGTCCCCAGTTCGGAAAACCAGCAGCCACCGTGGAAGCCAAGGAGCCAAGGCATGGGAAAAACAAACTTCCTTGGGATTCCAAAAGCAATTTTGGAATCCCAAGAGAACTTAAATTAAGACATAAAAAACTACAAAAATTACATTAATTAAAAGATAACTATGAACTAAAACTTAGCTAATAATGAGCTAACCCTTAGTTCAATAAATGAAGTAAAGACCAGCCCATAAATGAGCTAAATTCCAGCTCAAATTTGATTCAACTTGTAAGTTCAAGGGAAGCCAAAATCAATTTATTTTGGGTTTGAGTTGACCCCCCCCCCTGCCTACATCAGACTCCCCTTTTTGAGAACTCATCTCCCGATGAGTTAGCTTTTGTTTCTTCTGAGGAGGTGAAGACGGTGCATCCAATTCATTGATTAAATCTTCATATTTCTGCATGATCTGATCTCGTTCTCTCAAGAATTTATCTTGTAAACATTGTTTTTTCTTCATGTACCTTTTTGTACGTAGGTGCATTCATGATTGAAGTTTGTACAATTTATACTCCAGAAGATTTGTTGACTTTGATGGAATCCACCTTTCCATAGGATCTTCAATTCCATTTGATTTGCTTTCTTCGATTTTTTTTTGTTTTTTTTTTCATTTTTTAAATGACTCAAAAAAAAAAAGACTCAAAAGACTCAATCTAAAAAACTTATACTCAAAATACTTTCAAGACTCACCAACCTAAAAAAAACTTAAAACTTACTATAAGACTCACGACAAAACTTCACTTAACAAACAAAACTTGACAACCAAAACCTAGGACTTCCTAACTTGCTCTGATACCAAATGATGCGGGCAAAAATCCGGGGGATGGGGGACCCGAGGACCTCTGCCCACGAAGAGACTCGAGGAACGAAAGTTGAGACGAACAACAAAAAAGAAGACGAACAAACTCTTACATTTCAAATCTAAAAACAGACTTAGAAATTAAAAACAAAACTTACAACACATTAAAGTTGAGACGAACAAACTCTTACATTCACATTCCGACATTTCATATACACAGTCCAAAAGAACATGTACAATAGCCACTCGGGCTACAAAACAATGCATGAA